AACGTGGGAACTTTAAAAAAAAAAAAAACAGGCGCAGCTGACTGGGCTAAATTAATACAGTACGAGCATAAAGAAAGGAATGACAGACATTTAGTTAGTTTTAGTGAGTACAAGGAAGAAAAATGTACTATTTAATGGGTCGGATATAAAAGCAAGCAGCACCATGCTACAGATGTTTCTCATAAATAGGCTACGTAAATGACTCAGATGTCAATGAATGGCTAACCACTTGGGAAGAAATTGAGTTTTTTAAAAAAAGGATCATAGAGTCTGCTCGAAAAACTTTTTGTCAACTTCTATCTTGAGTAAATCAAACTCTTATTTAGGGATGCTTTGAAGGGCATTGATACTGTAGGTGACTGAGTTATCAAAAAAAAGGAACTAGTGTGAGGAATGGGAAGTACCAACAATGATGTAAAGTAACTTACTCAATCTAATGTAACTCATTACCCAGTTGTGACTGTTTTGAGGACCGAGGTATATTCCTACAGCTCACACATAAATGCAGATGGTGATGAGTATGATGAGATGAAATGGACATATACCAAAATGCTCAAAAAGAGAATAAGGTGACTTTAAAAAAAAGAGAACATAAAAATGAGTTAGCCTAGCGTGAACTGTGATCGGAGGGGCTTGGTAAATAACTACGTACTTATTAGTATAAAGAAGATGAGTTTAGATGATAGCAAGAAATTTAGCAAAAACTGGTTAGGTATCTACTTGAAAATTAGGCCAACAACAGATTATAATCTAGTCTCAAAATCAAATGAGAATAGAGTTATTATCGAAGTTCCTATTCTTTAGGGGATGCAGTAATTTAAAGAAGATTCAAAAGTAGAATTTCATTGATCAAAACAGCAGCGGACACATTTAATATATCATTAATACTGGCAAGCAGGTATTTTAAATGCCATGCCTTATTTACATTAAGGAAACATCCTAGGCAAAATGATACTGAGCAACCCCTTACAGGTCTTCCAAAACAGCCCCCCCGCCCCAAGATTGCTAGGATTCCATAGAGGGCAGAATATTCACCTGGTTTGTTCAGAGAAGCTGTAAAGGCCTGCTGTATCCCACTGATCTATCGTATTTGGTGTACTCAGTCCCCAAATTTCAGAGCAAGTGCTGTGCATAAATTGAAAAACAAAAAATTGATGTGAACATGGAAGCATGGTTATTCAAAATACCATGATGTAAAACATGGAAAATGTACAGAATACTTCCTTCACCCAGAAAATATATATACATTGCTTCACTTTTTCACGGGCTTTTAGTGCTGGTTTCTATATTTTCTATATGAAGGAAGCCAATAAAATGGAACATGTGACTCCAGATAAGTTATGATTATGTTTTAAAAATGTGAACACCAATGCTCTCTAGCTTAATGAAATCATACCTATAATGCCCCTTCCAATTTCCACTACTCACAGCAAAAGACCTAATACCTATGCCACCAGCCTTACTAACAGTGCGTCGTTTTATAATCTAGTTTAAAAACTTAGCTAAAAATGGATGTCGACTGGTCTTTTTAATACAGGAAAAATTTCACTTAAATTAGATACATACCCAAAGTTATATTTTCACATTATTTGTTTGAGAAACTCACACGTTCAGTTCTACTGGAAGTTATTACTGCTCTTATTGCTACGATGGAGAAGGAAGTGCATTTTGAAGTCATTCTAACAGAGCGTAACCACCTTAAAAGTTCTGAGAAACTGCTGTGAGGATACGTCAAAGTACCAAATTCTAAAATGGCAGGATGAATATAAAAGATGTGCTGTGTCTCGTTTTCAAAAATCAATGCACCTGAAAGACACAGACCAGAAAGGTCTCAAACTTTTTCTTCCACATCTCCTTCCAGAACATCGGCATGCCCAGAGATAACTCTCCCTATTTTCCCTGCCACAATTTCAAAGTAACTTCTTATCTGTGGGAGGAGGGAAGGAGACCTTCAAAGGCAGTCTGGAATGGGAACTTGTGCCTGTCAACGTGTCTCAGGTCAGAAGCTGTACTTAACAATCAGAGTCAAAAGGTAATTTCTGAAACAAGTTCAAACTCCATTTCTCTCATATTACAAAATCATCAAAATTTCAAAGAGGAGGAAGAATCGTTTCAAAACAATATTTGAAAATAAAATCAAACAACTGATTAAACTCCAGGTGCACACACTGCTAAAGAGCTAACTGAATCAACATTTCAAGGGACAATGGTGAGAAGTAACGTCTTCCTGTGGCCCGAAAACACACACCCCGGCTGCTGGGCTGCAGATCCCGGCTGCTGGGCTCCGGGGCTCCAGGGCCTCTCCCAGGGCCTCCAGACACTTTTCAGGCCATGACTTGGGGGCCACAGCAACTATACTGGTTTTACAAATGCATTTTTTGATACTCCCCAGCACCCTTTTAAGATACTTAACAGATTCTCTCGCTTTTCAGGCTTCAGAAATCGATCTTTCATTTTCCAAAAGACAAAAGTCAGAAAAAGCCAAGAAACTGGAAAATAATTTAATCTTTTTCCCCCAAAGACGTACTGACTATAAATAAAACCCATGACCACACATGGTTCTTCTAAGATATTTATCAAGTGTCTACTGAGAACATATAGCACCATGTAGCTTAAATCACGAACAAAATCACCTACGTTCTAGAGTGTTACGAATCTGAATTTAAATCTCAGAAGGAAAGGTATACCGCTTACTCTTCAGCCTTTGAAAATAATCCAAGGAAAATTATTAACAAGAGATTAGATTCAGAGGCAACTCTGCTCCTATGAGAGAATGAAGATTTCACTAAAGTAATTCTGACACTGACACAGAACCAGAATCTAAAAGAGAGAAAAGCTTAAGTTGTGCTTTTATTCAAGCCTTGAAATAAATCAGAAAATAATCAACATTATGCTCAGAACATGCAATCAATCAACAGGCAGGCCAACCTAGATCCCAAGCCTAACTCTGCCACTTTCCAACTTGCATATTAAGGTATATTTAAGCCTCAGTTCTACTGTTTATGGTAACATCTCTCTCCACAATTGGAAGGTTTACTTAAAAATAATAAATCTCCTTCTAGCTAGCAAAATTTTTGCTTGTTTATATAAGAAAAAGTATTTTTTAAAAGCATCAATTTATAACAAAACACAAAAGCACCTGGAATAAACGTAAGTACAAATGTGGCAAAACTATACAAAGAAATATTTTCATTATTACTGAAGAACACAAAGGAAACTAAGCAAAGAGAAAAACGTGTATCTTCCTATTCAGGAAGACAACATCATAGTGACATCAATTCTGCCGAATTTATTATTTGATACAATCTCACTAAAAAGCTCAGACAAAATTACTCCAAATATAACATACCAAAATAAGTAAGAATGATCAGGAAACCTTTAACAAAGAAGAGTAGAGAACTCTGAAACACAATATAAATTCTCAATGGAAACTGTACACAATTAGCAAAAGAGTACACGAATAAAACAAAATAGAGGTTCTGTCTGTAGAGGAGCCTTAATTAGGCAAACCCTCCTTCAGACAATAATGACAGCCTCTGAACAAAATATAATAAAATCAACCATTTGAAAATGGTAGAGAGGGACCAAAAGGACAACATCAAAGGGAAGTCAAACCTTTGCGAGAGGGGAAAGTGAATGAGATGCATATATGTGGCCCTGTATCCAAGGATAGCCCCACAGTCTAAGCTAGGCAGGGCAACTAGACCTTAAGCAGAAAACCACAGTTTTACTGACTTGCACAAATAATCAGAGAATGGATCTGGGGCTGCCAGAGAGGCTGAAAAAAGAAGAGGAAAAATCCTATAAAGAAGGAGTCATGCGGGGGGGGGGGGGGGGGGGGGGATCAAAATATGAATGTGAACTCTGCCCAAATCCTCTACTGATTTGTCAACTATATACATGGGGGAGACTATGTGGCCTGCCGAAAACCTGCATCTGGAAGTCCGGAAACACCAAGTGCTAAAATCTCAACTGTTGCTTTTACATCAGAGGCAGACAGTCTGGAATATGAGGCCGACCAAAACTATCTGCTAGAACAAAAATCAAAACTCTTCAGAGGAAGATAACAAAATTTAGTCTCTACAGTATTTCATCCCAAATATCCAGTATAAAAAGCACAAATTACTAAACATATGAAGAAATAGGAAAATGTTACCCCTAGTCAAGAGAAAGAATAGCCAATAGAAATAGATCCTCAAAATCCTAAAAGACCAGGATTTTAAAGTAACTACTGTGAACATGTTCACAGACTTAATGAACAGACAGGAATCTCGCTTGGTGATGAAAACTATCAAAATGAATCAAAAGGCAATTCTAGAACTGAAAACTACAAAATCAAAAATAAAAAATGAACCTGATGGTTGGAGAAGACACAACAGTCAGTCAATTTGAAGATGAGTCAATAGAAATTGTCAAAGCAGAAGAACCAAAATAAAAAAGACTGAATAACAAAAAGGATAGTCTCAATAACATGTGCAGTTCTGAGAGGAAACAAGAAAAACCGGAAAAAATACCTGAAATGATAATGCCTAAAACATCTTCAACTTCAGTGAAAAATTAAACTGATACTTCTAAGAAATTCAGTGAATAACAAGCAGTTTAACTACAAAGAAAATCACACTTGGGCACATCACTGTCGAAATACTTAAAAGATAAAAAGAAAATCTTCAAAGTGGTAAGAATTACAAAACTCTTGGCACAAGGACTCCATCTAAACTCCTGCACTAAGACACTTAACTAAGCTCTAGCAAGTCCCTCACAGGACCCAGACCCTTTTGAGCTCCTGTTTGGAAAAGGTCAAGGCGGCCAAAAGAAGTTACCATTTGTTCCAACCAACACTTGTCCATAGGCCCCTGACTTCCTTTCCTTAGAGCATTTATTTTAAAAACTTGCACTTGTCAATCCTTTTCCTGTCTCTTTGAGATGTATTATGTGTCTCCTACAACTCAGGAGTGTCTTTCTCAAGGACCTGAAATCCATTCCTTTGAAATGTAATCAGTCACCAGAAAGGACAAGGCCTCTGTATCCCAGGCTACCCTCAGAGAGAGGGTAGAAGCCTAACTTGAGAAATGCCATTTAGCAGACACAGACGGCCACACTGACACTGACCAACCAACCCACTAACCCATTTTTTTTTTTTTTTTTTTTTTTTTTGGTAACTTTTCAGTTCCCTAACTCCGTTCAAGCCTCTATTCATTCCCGCTGCCTACTCTCCTGTTCTCCCAGTCACCTCTGTGCAAATCAAAACTGAGCTCAGCTCTTCTCCTACTACTGTGATTACTAAATAAAATCTGTTTTTACCACCTTGAAACAGTATCTGGCTTTAACTCTGACAGCAGCTGGAGTAGAACAATCCACATACACAGAGCCATGAGCACATGAGTAACAATTTCTCATCAGAAACAGAAGCCAAAAGACAATGGGACATCTTTAAAGAGCTGAACAGAAAAACAAACTCAACCTAAAATCTATACCCCACAAAAATATTCTTCATATAGTAAGCCAAAACAAAAATATGTTCAGGTAAACAAAAATTGAGAACTCATTTGTAGCAGACTTTGCCCAAAGAAATGCTAAAGGAAAGTTCTTCAGGATAAAGAGAAACAGCAACAGATGAAAACTCTCAATCACTGAGAAAAATTAAGAGAACGAGAAAGTATTAAGTATGCAGGAAAATGTAAAAGACGATTATTTTTCTCTTAATTTCTACAAAAAGGAGATGACTGGTTACAGCAAAAATTGTAACTCTAAAAGTATGTGGATGCAATTTGTAGGACAACAGCAACAGAAACAAAAGGACGTGTTAAAAACAGCTATACTGTCACAAAGCTAAGGATTCATACTGTCATTGGGAAAGCAACCCTTGCCCCTGAAAAGGGGAAGAGACAGAGAAAAAATGCATATAGAAAATTAAAATGAAACACTAAAAAATAATTAACCTCAAAGGAAGGAAGGAAGAAAAGACGACCAGATGATAATAGAAAACAAAGAATAAAGTGTAATGGGTAAAAGGGTAAATCCAACCGCATCAGTAACAATACATAAATACACCACATATTCCAATAAGCAGCAGACACTTGTCAGAATGAATACAAGATATAAAATATCTACAAAAAAGATGTATA